GGCTGGGGGCAGGGGTTACATGGAAACTCTCTGTACCTTCATCTCATTTCTGTTATGTCCCTGAAACTGCTCTAAAAAAAACAAAGTCTTTGAAAAGAAAGAAGTCAAATTTCTAGATTCAGACATGACCCTTAGTATAGAAAATCCCACACGCTCTACGAGAGAGCTTTTTAACAAATTAGTGAGTTGGGCAAAGTTGACTGATCCAAGATCAATATAGGTAATCGGTTGTACTTTTATACACTAGCAACAATCAGAAATAGAAATGTTAAAATACCATTAATAAGAGAATAGAAAACATGAAATACTTGGGGAGAAATGTGATAAAAGATGTGCAGGACGTGCACAGTGTCATATGTGTGTCAAAATTTGCTGAATCATACATTTTCAATAGGTGCTATCCGGGACAGGTCACGTATACCTTGATAAAACTGTACTTAAAAGGAATTAGAAAGAATAGCATATCTGTAATACAGAGAAACCATGTACAAAAACAGGAACATGGAAAAGGTCTACTGCACACATTAAATAAGAGAGTAAGAGCTATGGCATTACCCCTATCATGATCTCACTTACGTAAAAATATGTGTGTGCTTATACCAAGTAAGCCTCAGGAAATATATGCTCATCTGTTTACAGTTTTGAGATTGGAGAAGCAATAAAGAAAGCTTTCCATTTTATACATCCCAGGCTTGTTTGAAATTTCTACAACGATCATGCATTACTTCTGAAATTAAAAAAAAAAAAATAGAAGAACGTAAAAAAATAATTAGGCTTAAAAGCCACTGGGCGAGATGAACTTGAAGACAAGAAGCCAGATGGACTCATTTTGTGTAAGAAAACGATGGGAAGGGTGCCTGGGTGGCTCGGTCGGTTGAGCATCCGACTCTTGACTTCAGCTCAAGTCATGATCCCAAGATCATGGGGTCCAGTCCTGCATAGGCTCTGCACCTGAGATTCTCTCTCTCTGTCTCAAGTTGAAAGAAAGAAAGAAAGAAAGAAAGAAAGAAAGAAAGAAAGAAGACAGGAAGAGAAAAGAAAAGCAAAAAGAAGATGGGAGTGTTGTGTTTGGAGAACGAGTCCCATCACAGAGTAAAGGGAGGTGGGCACATGTCTCTGATTCACCCGGTTTTATCAGATTCAGAGCTCCGTGCACACTCTCTCCCAGTGGAGAATCATTATTTCCCTGGGCTACCTTGATGGATGATGCCATCTGTCTGTTCTTTGGGTGTCCTGAGGTACAAAATTGCCAAGAGCTTTAAAAGACCAGCATTGATTCCCCTGTGATCGTCAATGGCTGTAAGGAACATTCAAGGCAGGGGTAAAATTCTGACCAGGTTTCCGAGCCCACACTCTTGGGGTGTCCAGTACCTTGGATAATTTTCTGCTGCTGTTGCCGGATTTCATCAAAACCCAGGCCTCTGGTCTCCTCTGGCTCCTCGAAGAGCCAAGGGTTGGGTACCCCTCGCTTAGCCCCTCCAGTCATCAGGCTGGACCTAGGAACAAGATCAAATGCGTTACGTAACTCAAAAAACACAGCTTTGCTGCAGATTACTCCCACAAGCGCAGACGTGAGCCTCACGTGCTTTGAAAATGCAATTCGGCCACAATTTACTGCATCCTTAGTTCAATGCCAGCAACTGTGTTCAGTGCTGGACGAGGTCTGAGGATGAATTAAGGCACAGGCCTGGTCCCCCGGAGAATTAGAGCCCGTTAAGGAGACCAAAGCAGCACATAATACCCTTACCAATCTTCCAACACACGTTTGAGTCAATAATCGTAAACGAGGGTCTTAAATTTCCAAAACACAAGGCCACATAGAAGTGGCCTTTTGATTAGGACAAAGTTTGTCTCCCAGGCTACGCGACACCAAAGGCACAGATGCTATTTCTCAAGAAGGTGCAAATGTTGCCACCACCACAGATGATGGCATTAAAACAGGGCCACAGGATTCTTATTCAAGGGTATGTGGTTGCTCACAGATAGAAACACACAGAGGGTTTCAAATCCAAGCTTACGAACGTATGATAGCACTCACAACAGAACAAATCCTGAATTATCAATCTTAATCTTTACTCACCCTAGAAAGCCCACGCGCCCCTGCCAAACCAGACATATCGGTCACCCTGCCATCCGGGAACAGGGAACCTGCATTCTCAGCCTTGGTCCCCATGTTTGTAGGATTTTCATCCCAAGGATCGCCTTCCCTGTCCCCACATCCTGTCCAAGCCACGAGGACGGTGCTGTTCGTGGAACCACGTGTGACCATTTCAACCCAGACGTGAACAGTCATTCACCTGGGAGTTGGGTTCCTGGGATTTATGAAAACTGATGGTCACGATGACAGTGATATAACCGAACTAGCGGTCGCGATGGTGGTTAACGGGCAGCGAGGACCTGCCACGTGCAATCGTAACCCCGGACGACGTGCGTGCGGCCACAGGCTTCTCTGTCACTTCTCACGTTTCTCCTCTTGTCTGGAAATCACTGCTACCCCATAACCTTTGATGTGGGTAAGCCTCCTGCCTACTAGGTACAAGGCAGGAACCGGAAGTCGCACCCTTGACCGGACAGCAGGCTGCTCTCCAGCACAGAGCGAGATAATCAGATCTCAGCTTCACCACCTACCAGCAGATACAGACAGCAATTTCCACCTCAGAGGCCTGCTGGGGAGTATATAAAACAATCTGTTTGGGGCGCCTGGGTGGCTCAGTTGGTTAAGCGTCCGATTTCGGCTCAGCTCATGATCTCACAGTTCATGGGTTCAAGGCCTGCGTCGGGCTCTGTGCTGACAGCTCGGAACCCAGAGCCTGCTTCCGATTCTGTGTCTCCTTCTCTCTCTCTCTGCCTCTCCCCTGCTCGTGCTCTTTCTCTGTCTCTCCTCTCAAAAATAAATAAACATTAAAAAAAATTTTTTAAATCCACTTACCAAAAAACACTTATTTTGTACTCAACTATGGCATAGGCACTGTTCTTGCTCATGGGAATAAAGGAAAAATAGAATATAGGAAAAACAGACCAAAATCTCTGCTCTTACAAAGCAGAAATTCTTGTTATGGGTGCAGCTTCCATTCTGGTGGGGGGGGGGGTGGGGGGAGACCAAGTGTGAAATGTGCGGAAAGTGTATAACACTGTTCTTGGAAGATAACAGTCACTCAACACGTGGTAACAAGTGTCATGTTACCACTCAATGAGCTGCATACACAGGGCACACGGAATGATGATTTCTGAACAAATGAGTGGACCCCCAAAAGCCTACCTGTCCTTCAGTTGTAGTTGAGCACTCTGAAACCTAGAGAAGATGATGGTATGGGAAACAAACCGAGGCAAAACTGGAAGAAAAGTTTTGATTCTTGCACTAAGTTTTAATCTTTTTTTAAATGTTTATTTATATTGGAGACAGAGGTGAGTGGGGGAGGGGCAGAGAGAGAGAGGGAGACATAGAATCTGAAGGAGGCTCCAAGCTCTGAGCTGTCAGCACAGAGCCAGATGCAGGGCTCGAACTCACAGACCGCAAGATCATGACCTGAGCTGAGATCAAGAGTTGGACGCTTGGGGCGCCTGGGTGGCTCAGTCGGTTAAGCGGCCTACTTCGGCTCAGGTCACGATCTCACACTCCGTGAGTTCGAGCCCCGCGTCAGGCTCTGTGCTGACCGCTCAGAGCCTGGAGCCTGTTTCAGATTCTGTGTCTCCCTCTCTCTGACCCTCCCCCATTCATGCTCTGTCTCTCTCTGTCTCAAAAATAAATAAATGTTAAAAAAAAAATTTTTTTTCAAAGAGCAGGTGTGTCCCCTTAAAGCCTTACTTTGTTTACCTGGTTGGCCCCAAGTATCTAAGACGTCAAGATTCTGGATTTATTCCCTGGAGTAATCACTCACCTCGCCTAACTGGAGATGGCGTAACGAAAGCGATGGAGAAGGAAAGGAAGAGTGAGTTTACAAAGCACACTCCCCGATTCGTGCACCAGCACCAGCTCTGGACCAAAACAGGATTCATGCGGGATGTCGTGTGCGGATCCCTGGGGAAAAGCAAGTACTGACGACCAGGACAACGGGCCAGACACACACACAGTGACCTCACAGTGCATCTATCACCAGCTACAAGCATCCACTCACTCAGATCAGTACACTGCACCTGCCTTGATAGGAGACATGGCTCCTCCAAAGTTAAAGCTGGAATGTCCCACTGGTGGCCTGTGCCACACCAAGAGCACATTTTTACAAATTATCAAAGGAGAGGGGCACCTGGGTGGCTCAGTCGGTTAAGTGCCCAACTTTGGCTCAGGTCATGATCTCACAGCTCTGTAAGTTCGAGCCCCAACTTGGGCTCTGTGCTGACAGCTCGGAGCCTGGAGCCTGCTTCGGATTCTGTCTCCCTCTCTCTCTGCCCTTCCTCTGCTCGTGCTCTCTCTCTCTCTCAAAAATAAACATTTAAACAAATTTTTAAAATAATAAACATTTTTTTAAAGGTTAAAAAGATTACTAAAGGAGAAAATAAAAGGGATGTAATCAAACTGACGTAGCAATCTCAAAAACAACGAATTAGAGCTATAGCCTCTAATTATATTTATATAATATATCTTGGCGCGTGTTAGAGAATACAGCATGACATGGGCCCAATTCAACATTAATATCGAACTCAGATCAGCCAGCACACGTACAGGAAAGATCTCCCGGGGCCGAATGCTGACCTATGAAGCGCTGAGCACTGAAAGACCGGTGTTGGCCTTGATCTCACACAGTTCGACAAAAGCAACCGTCAACGGCAGCGCCGTTGGCCAAGATGCGCCAAAGCAAAAATTCTTCCCTGATGCCCTCCTTCCCGGGTTATCTGATTCCAAAGTTCTGGAAGTTTGGTAAGTTTCAGTTTGGAAGTTCAAGTCTGAACTTTGTCTCTCCCCTTGGCGTTTATACTGTGTTGATACCCCAAGTCCAACAGGAAACTCAGCCTTTACCAACAAGAGCAGGTAAGATCACAGGTGTCACTGTACGTGGAAGACCTGACCTCCTTTTCGTGAGATTTTCTGTTCAACTTGACGTTTGGAACAATGCCTACTTTTACTCAGTACTCTCCTGGGCCAGAAGGAAAACATGAAAGAGTTTCTGACAGGATTCTTGCCTTCAAAGCACTTACAATCAAATTGAAAAAAAGAAACAAACCACACATGAAGGCACTGTTAACCAGAAGAAGAAAACACTTTCCCACAAACACCCATTCTCCTTCCCCCGCCCCGCCCACCACCGATTTTCCCCATTTCAGTTCAAGACCACTCCTGACCCATTGATTGGCTCAGGCCCAAAACCTCAGCATCCACTTTGACTCTTTTAGTTCACACCCTACGGCATCTACTGCATTAGCGAATCCTTTAAAATGTATCTAAGGGGTGCCTGGGGTGGCTCAGTCCGACTTCAGCTCAGGTCATGATCTCGCGGTCCTTGAGCTCGAGCCCCGCCTCGGGCTCTGTGCTGACAGCTCGGAGCCTGGAGCCGGCTTCCGATTCTGTGTCTCCCTCTCTCTCTGTCTGCCCCTTCTCTGCTCTCTCTCTCTCTCTCAAAAATAAATATTAAAAAAAATATTTAAATAAATAAATAAATAAATAAATAAATAAATAAATAAATAAAACCTGTCTAAAGTCTGGTCACTGCTTCTGCCCCGTATCCCTCCCTGTCTCCTGCTTCTGCTCCCACCCTCCGCCATCCTCCACATAAAATGCAGTGTCTTCACTATAACCTACAAGCCACACTAGCCTCCTTGTTGCTTCCAGAACACAACGAACACATTCCCTTCTCGGGCCCTTGGCACCTGCTGTCCTCCAGATCGAGACGTGGCCTTGGCCCCTCACTTCATTTGACTCTGCTGAAATGCTACCTCCTCAGAGAGTCTCCCCTGACTACTGCATCTAAAATAGTACCCTTCCCTGTAAGTCCTTAGCCCACCTCCTCATTTTACCTGATTTTTCTCTATAGCACTTAGACACCTATCTATCAGATACGATATAGTGAGTTATTTTCTGCCCTCCCACACTCGACTATAAGCTCCCCCGGGGAGGGACTAGCTTGCTTGTCACACTGTCCTCAGTGTTCTGGCCTAATGGGCAGTGACTTAAAAAAAGAAGTTGAGGGAACTAACTTATTCAGCCAAAACCATCCCTGAATGCAGGAGATCAGTAAGCATAGCCCGGAAACGGTAACATTGCACACTCGTGTTGTCCTCTGCGATTTCAGGGGCTTTTTACATCCACGGTCCCCTTCTAGTCATACGCAAGCCTGGGTATAGGTCAGCGCAGGTGTTACTGACAGGAAGACCAAGGAAAAGAGACATCCAGTGACTTTCTGGAGGGCGCGCGTAGTGGCAGAGCTGAAGGTGCGACCCATCACTTCGTGCTCTGAGCCCCGGGACTGTCCTCTGCACTGTCGCGGGGAAGGCTTCCTGAGGGTAAGGGAGACTCGAGAAGGCCTTGCAGAGTGGGTGAGGGTCCGCGATACGGGGAGGGAGG